TATTATATTTAGAGTTGTGCAACCAACATCACAATCTATTTATTTATTTTTAAAGATTTTATTTATTTATTTGACAGAGAGCGAGAAAGCACAAACCGGCGGAGCGGCAGGGAGAGGGAGAGGGAGAAACAGGCTCCCCAACAAGCAATGAGCCCAGCGAGGGGCTAGTTTTCAGGAACCCAGGATCATGACCTGAGCTGAAGCAGATGCTTAACTGACTGAGCCACCCAGGTGCCCCCATCACCATCGATTTACAGTTTTTTTCATTAACCCCTGCAAAGATTCTGTACATGAGCAGTCCCTCCCTATTTTCCCCCAATTGTCTCAGAGCCCTAGGCAACCACTGATCTATTTTCTTTCTCTATAGACTTGCCTATTCTGGACATTTCATATAAAGGGAATCACACATCATATGGTCTTTTGTGACAGACTTCTTTCACTTAGCATGTATCCAAGATTCATTTATTGGGTACACATAACAGTATTTCATTTCTTTTTATGCCCAAATAATATTCCATTGTATGGACATATCACATTTTATTTCTCCATCAAATGATGGATGTTTGGCTTGCTTCCATTTATTGGCTACTGAGAATAATGATGCTACGGATATCTGCACACAAGTTTTTGTGAAGAAATATGTTTTCATTCCAAGTGATTTTTGAAGACCGTATTTTGACTATTTTCCCTCTGACAAAAAAGAACTATAAAAATATTTAATAGGCTTATTTTTCACAGAAGTATGGGTCAGAAATTCTGAATTTTTTTTGAAATGAATTTTTGTGTGCTCTAGAATTAAGCAAATAAGTAAATATCCTGAAGATAGTGGGAGCCAGTTCTCTCAGAGAGAAAGGAATCACAAATATGAAAAGGGGAAGACTAGAATGAACCATGTGGCACTGGGTTGAACGTGGAGATGTTACTACCACCTCATGATTTTAATATGGATACATAGGAATAGAAATAGACATAGACATAAATCCTAATTCTGTCTGCTGACAGGGTATAGAAGTAATGACACTCCAGTAACAATGAATACCTCTAATGCCCAGAACTTGGTTTCTATATACCACTCTCCACTAAAATGAATCCGGGCTCCATAAAGAAATGGCTGATTTCAGGGCTGGGGCAGAAAAAGTATAAAGTTAGCCTGGAACATCTTGTTATGCCAGAATATAAAGAATAATATTTGAAGAATGATGGGGTCATGTCAATAGGACATAGACGCCAGCTTAAAGGGGCTCCTACTAGCCAAATCTGGGGCAATTAGACCATCAAAATAAATAATTATAGTAATGGATTATAAGCCACTGAATGAAGTAGATAGTCATGAGTCCAAACTGATATAAATGAATAATTATATAGGAAAAGAGAAAAAAAATGCAGGGGTGGGGGGAGCACCTGGGTGCTCAATTGGTTAAGCACCCAATTTTTTTTTTAAGATTTTTTATTTAGTTTACAGAGAGAGACACAGTGAGAGAGGGAACACAAGCAGGGGGAGTGGGAGAGGGAGAAGCAGGCTTCCTGCCAAGCAGGTAGCCTGATGTTGGGCTCGATCCCAGGACTCTGGGATCATGACCTGAGCCAAAGGCAGCTGCTTAATGACTGAGCCAGGTGCCCCAGGCATCCAACTCTTGATTTCAGCTCAGATCATGGATTCAGGGTTGTGGGATTGAGCCCTGCACCAGGCTCCATGCTCAGTGGGAGTCTCCTTGGGATTCTCTCTCTCCCTCTGCGCCCCACCACCTCAGAATGTGCACACGTGCATGCTCTTTCTAATAAATAAATCTTTTTTAAACATTTAAAAAAATAGGGAAGAAGGGAAAACAATTCCTTCTATTAGAATGCCAACTGAAAATTATAAAAAAAATGATGGATTTAGAAAATTACCATCTGGGAAACATAATATTAATTGATTCGGGCAAGGATCATCAATGGGTGCTGAAATTAATGTGTATAAGTCTGATAAATAACAGTATTTTTATACTACCAAAGTATCTCCTCACAAAATACTTATTTAGTATAAAGAGAAAAAATGGTAACTTTACAGCAGAAAACTGGCAGACAGCACCGTAATCCAAGTGATCAAAGTTGTGGTGTGCTAGAGTCAACTCACACCAACTGAGGTGTGGCACATCTCTTCCCAATTTTGCGGTTAGTGATGACAAAATAGTAGCATGAAATTGGCCACTGTGAGAGTATTTACACCATGGAAATTGTTAAATATTACAAATCAGGGCCCTTTTTCCTCCGGATAACCAGCTGTTAGTCACTTATCAGAATAGTGGATTGAAGTTACTACCACCAGACAAAGTAATTTATGTGCCTCTGATATTGAGCACTGAGAAGGACACATCACCACCTTTGTGGTATTCTGCCAAAAATGTCTAACTTCAACCTAATGATGAGAAAGTATCAGAAAAAACTAAATTGAGAAATATCCTACAAAATAATTGGCCTGCATCAGCAAAATATCAGGGTCATGAGACAAAAGAAGATTTTGAGGATTAGCACTATATGTCAACTTGACTGGGCGAAGGGATGCCCAGATAGATGGTAAAACGTTATTTCTGGGTGTGTCTATGAGGGTATTTCCCACAGAAATTAGCAGTTGAATTGGAAGATTGAATAAAGATCACCCTCACCAACGCAGCTGAGCATCATCAAATCAACTGAGGGCATGAACGGAACAAAAAGGCAGAGGAAAGATGAATTTGCTCCTTGCCTAAGCCAGGACATCCATCTTCTCCTGACCTCAGACATCAGTGCTCCTGGTTCTCAGGCCTTTGGACTTAGACATGGACTTACACCATTGCCAGCTTGCAGATGGCAGATCATGAGATCTCTCAGCCCCCACAAACACGAGCCAATTCCTACAATAAATCTCATCTATAAGTATATATACATGAATATAGGCATATGTGTATGTATGTATGCATATATATCTCCTATTGGTTCTGTTTCTCTAGAGAATCTTGACTAGTACAATGACTAAGGAAATGTTCCAAGTTAAAGGAAAAGAGACTTGACAACCAAACACAGTATGTATTCCTGATTGAATCTTAGACTAGGGAAAAAAAAGTTGTCATTGGGACCTTAACTGGTGAAATATGAACTTCTGGTGAAACTTCTCGCTTATAGTATTACGGCAACACTAATACTGTGATTTTGACCGTGGTACTATGGCTACAGAAAAGAATGCCCCAAATGCCTACAGAAGTTTTTAGGGGGTAGGGTGCATCAGCACGTGACTTGCTTTCAGATGGTTCTCAGGAAGAAGGGGAGAAATTTTTCTTTGGAAAAATGATAAATCGAATGTGGCTCAGTGTTAACACAAGGGAACCTGGGTGTCGAACGTGAGGTTCTGTGTCGTATTCTGGGAGCTTCTCTGTAAACTTGAACTTATTTAAAGAATTAAAGTTATAAGGAAAAAAACCATGAACGCTACCTTGTCCTCTACGCTCATCTTTGCAGCTGCAGTCAGAAAGAGGCGGTGAACCAGGACTTCCCCGAGGCCTCAAACCCCAGAAGGCTGCGGGGTACAGCAGACGCCAAAGCAGCGTCCACCACCAACCCTTCCCAGGCTCGTGCTTCCGGCGCAGGCGCAGGCGCAGGCACAGGCGCATACGCAAGGCAGCGGCTCACTCAGCACCTTCCTGAGCCCGCCCACCTGCCCGGCCCTCAGATTGGCCAAGGGCGTAGTGACATCACGTCCTTCACAGCTGGGCACTCGTGCAGCTTCGAGGCTCTCCAGCGGTCACAGGTGTGAGGGCCTGGCCTCCAGGTGACCCCAGACAGGCCTGTGGCCCCTCAACCCGGGATTCAGGCCCCAGTGGGTGCCCCTCTCGCAAGTGCATATTCCTTAAAGACAAGACTCTTGGTCTCAGATGGCTAATAATGCCCACTGCCACCCAAGCCCAGTGTTGTAACAGTGGGCCCACTTGCCTCTTGATTTGGGGTCCTGGAATCAGGTAGTGAGACTCAGAGCCACAGAGGGAAGTTGGGAGCTCCCTGTGAAGGCAGAGTAAAAGGAAAAGAATGTTCTTCAAAGACTTACTGTTTCCTTAATTTGAAAATCTAGTGTTTGTGGTCCAGGTGCTGTTACTAGTGAGTTTCCAAGCAAGGGATGTGGAAACCTCAGCCAATACCAGCTGGCCACACCCCCCCTGGGGTGGGACAGCGTTGTTTCTGGGCTTTCCTATTGTCAATTAGTGGGAAATTGAACATAAATGTGTCCTGGCCTTTACAAAGCCTCTTCTGATCTACAGCTTCCCGTGAAGGAACACCAGGACACAGCAGGTGGTGGGGTTCTCCAAAGGTATGGTTCTTATGCCACTTACCAGGTTACATTTTCTGATGGAAGCTGATTCATAGGATGAAGTCACCGTATTTGAGTTTTTAGGTGAAAACGGTGGGTTGCACGGATAAAGGACTGAGGTGCTTGCTAACCATGGTGATTGTGATTATAGTTGCTCTTGCAAGTTTCCCTCATTCCTGTGTAGACAAGGAAGATTATTTCCATTGTCTAGCATAGCATGTGGTAGGTGCTTGGTAAATATCTCAATGACTTTATAATGCCCTGCACATTCTGAAGAATTGCAGTGATCACTCTCCCATCACCTGTAAATTTGGAGGTAATTTTGCCTATATTGGTACTGCCATTGTTCTTTAAAATGGTATTTTGTAAAAGTATTCTTTTACTGTTTGTGGAAGAAGTTCCCAATGATTGAGGTTCCCAATGATCTCAAATGCTGAGCAGTGAAAGGAGACTGAATAACCCATTTATGATCTGTCTTTATTCCGTATTCATGGAATCTGATTATCCTCACCTCTCTTTACTTTTACCCCTTACCCCAAACAAAATGAAAGGATTCCATAATGAAAAGGGTGAAGGAAACATGATGTTTATTTCAATTGAGCAGACAGGCATGGATCAAGCGAATTGAAGACAGATGAACACATGATCAACAATATACTGGGAGAGGATAAATGGATTTTTAATGATGTTCAGCAACCACTTTTATCCCCTCCTGTTACTAGAGAGAAAAATGTCTGCAGATAACCAGTGGTCAGCAGATGAGGAAGAAGGCCAACTCTCCCGACTGATCAGGAAATCTAGGGACTCCCCCTTTGTCCCCGTAGGTAAGTACAAGCCTTGACTGGATACTAGAGAACTGTTTGTAATAACAATGCATTATCCAGTATCTCTGAGGAATGAAATGTTTTCTATTACTTAAGTTTTTCAGGTAATTTTATTTCTTTAACTCCCTTTCATTAGAGGTCTATCTCAAATTACTAATTCCTAGCCACTCTAACTGGACCACACTGAATGAGCTTTAACACTTCTGTGATGACTCGAGATCATCAGTAGCATCAGCCTATTATATTGAAAGTCTTAGTGACCGAGATGTATAGGGGTCTTTGTCCTCTAACTCCAACCTTTAAGTTCTTGTACCCGATTGTTTACAGATTTTTCTTCCATATAATATTGAGTACAATAAAAAACTTCTGCCTCTAGTATTCTGTGGCATCAGAAGCTAGATACACAAGTTTAAAGGAATTGTGCGTCAATTCAGAGTAAGGAGGCTCTGAATGAAAGCCTAGGCTACCTACCTATCTGTACACTTGAGAGCATGAACTTTGTGATGTTCACGTTCAATGGCCCTTTGTGCTGATTTCCTGATGTGTTCCAGATGTTGAGGTTGATGGTTAAGTAAACTCTAGATTAAAGAAGTGTTATTATAATTAGACCTGGTCTAAGCCTCTTTATCCTTTCCCAACACAGATTTAGTATGTTTACATTTAGAATAATACTGTATGTATCCGGACTTAAAAAAAAATTCTAAGCACCAATATTATGTTTTAAAACCTAAGCTTTCTCTTTCTTCTTTTGGATGCTTAAGCTAACCTAAGCACTATTATATTCTGTAGCCTTGACTCTTTCCTGGTGTTCATTTGGTCTGGAAACTATTAAAATAATTTATTTAAATAAGACTTACATTATGTAAGTTACACTGACATAAGTGATTAATTCCTTAAAACCTTCCCAATAGGTATGTCGTTAGGTTTTCCTTGTCACTGCAAATCTAGCAACTTCATGTCATTATTTGCATATCAAAAAGAATCAAAATTTTACTTTATAATAATATGTTGTTTAGAATTTAATTTGATTAGAACTTGATAATAGCATCCATAAAAAATGGAAGCAAATAATATTAGAGTGATTAACTCATCTTTCTAGCATTTTTAACTAGAAAAACAATTCATAGAACTAGGTGCCACTTGAACAGATCACTATCATGAAGAGACATTAATCACTGTGCCTATCATAAATTAAATTATTTTTCCAGAGACATTTAGGGTGATTAAAGTAGAAAGATAAAAGTGTTTCCAGTTAAATTCAATTATATACAAACTACAGAGACACTATATGGAAAACAGTAAAGGTTCTGACTTTCATCTCCGAAGGAAACAAAACCAATTTAACTGAGAACAGAGCCTTGATTTGATAAGGGAAGAGAATCAAGTTTTTGCTAGATAAATAAATGATAAAATTTGAATATATATTGTTGACTAGTTTAGCTATGGTTATTTTAATAATATCTACTATGTATTTCCTGCTGCAGGATAGTGTCCTGCTCAGAGAATTTACAAAACATTTTTATTTATTAAACAACTTCCATCATTACAATCTATTTGTACTGTTTAAAACTGTCTTATGATCACTGTTAAGGTCTCTGCATACATTACATATATACTGAAGCTCTGTGTTGATCATTTGTTTTTGTTCCTTTCACTTAACATTTTCGTGTGTACATTTCTGTGTATTAGCACTGCCGATACTTAAAACTTTTTTCACAGCTATGGCAGTCGTCCCTCTGTTTGGGTCATTTCAGTTTGCTGTTATTCAGTTTTGCTGTTGTCCAGTTTTTCCTCATACATAGTGTAGCTTTGTGTCAACTTCTTGATGTTTCTCTTGCTTATTTCCCTGGAATATGAATTTCCAGAGCAGGAAGCACATTCAGTTTAATACCACCTATTATATATTGCCAGCGTTCTTAAGATGGGGCTAAACTTACAGAGCTTTCAGCATTGTACCTGTTTGTCAATGTATCTATTATTGTTTTTTGCTGTTTTTGTTTGTCATTTTAATTTTTATTTCATTTGCTAATCAGCCTGTAAAATATACATGTAAATGCAATTATTCTCTTACTTCCATCTATTAAATGGATTCTGAAAGAATATATCCTCACCCACCCGTAGAGACACACGTGTGCCAACATAACTAATCAAAACTTGCTATCCTACATAAATACCAATTGCATGCTATAATTTAACAACAAACATATGGAAACTGAAATAAAAACATTACACTATTCATAATCACTCCAAAGAAAATGAAAATGAAATCACTCCAAAGCTTAGATACATGCTTAACAAAACATGTATACAATCTGTACACTGAAAATTACAAAATGTTAATGAAAGAAATCAGAAAGGACCTAAATAAATGTGAAGACTACATGCAGTATTGTGTCCATGGATTGCAAGACTAAATATATAGTAAAGAAGAATTTAAATACAAAGAATGTATGTCAGTTCTCCCCAAATTGACCTACAGGTTTCGTGTAATACCTATCAAAATCCCAGCAAGGTTTCTTATAGGTAAGAAAAGTTTACTCTAAAATTTATATGTGGGGGCACCTGGGTGACTCAGTGGGTTGAGCCTCTGCCTTCGGCTCAGGTCATGATCCCGGGGTCCTGGGATTGAGCCCCACATCGGGCTCTCTGCTCCACGGGGAGCCTGCTTCTCCCTCTCCCTCTGCCTGTTTCTCTGCCTACTTGTGGTCTCTCCCTGTTAAATAAACGAATAAAATATTTTTTAAAAAATTTTTTAAAATAAAATTTATATGTGAAGGCGGAAGTCCTAGAATGGCTAAAACAATCTTTAAAAAAATTTAAAAAAGGATAACGTGGGAGAAATCACTGTACCTGATACTGAGGCGTACTAGATAGCTACCTAATCAAGACAGTGTAGTGTTGCTGGAGGAATAAATACACAGATCAACAAGATAGAAGAGGGAACCCAAAAAATAGACCCATACTTTTATTATGCAAAGTCTTCTCTATTCCTCTGTCAAAATATGGCATTTTGTCCTCCCCATTTTCTCTAAAGTCTACTTTACCTTCTTTTAGATGTTATAAATATGCTATTCTGTTTTCCTCTAGTTTTTATTGATATTTTTGTTTTGTTTTTTATATTCAATTGTAACTCATGCAGAATTTTTTGGTAGGACCTGCTGTGAGATACACATTCAAATCAGTTCTCCATACTAAAAAAATTGTACCAATGGTATTTATTAAATAACTATTCCTTTATCTGTTATTTGGTTATTTTGATTTGTCATGAATTAAGTTCTCACCGTGTTTTAAATCTCCTTCTGGAATCTTTCCTATTCAGTTGATCAGTTTTCTGTCTTAGAGTCAATTATATAGGATCTTGGTTGTTACAGCAGTATCCTCACCCCGTGACATTTGCAGGGAATACGGAAATACTTGTGTGCTTCTGGAATTTTCTAGAGTCACAGATCTTTCTGCAGCTACATACTTCTTATGCAAATATTCATACCTTTCATCTCATTAAAATTTAAGTATCTCATTTTACAGAAGATCAAAATTGTTACCACTAAATTTCCTCCTTATTTGGTAACAAGCAGAGAGGAGTAAAGCCAAACATTCGAAAGGCATGCATGTTGGGAGGTTTGGTTGGTTTGCTCACTGGCTCAGTGACTTGCCCCAAATAAAAGCCATGCACAACAGGAAATCATGCCTCAGGAACATTAGAAATTACTACACTACAGGATTCAAGTTTTTCTGGGAAAAGTCAAAACTGCAAATATTGAATCCATGAGTGTTACGGGTCTATTTTTAAAAAAAAAATCTGGTGAATCAAAACCAGCATCGTTCCTCTTTAAGTATTCTTTGGTGTCTGGCCTGCTTATCTTCCAAGTACCGACCCTTTAGACACTCTTCTATTCAGCTCTCTAAATCTTAGGGATTCTAGCCTACTATTCACATAACCTCTATTTTTTTTTAATTTACAGGAATAGCAGGTTTTATGACTGTGGTGTCCTATGGTCTTTACAAGTTAAAGTACAGAAAAGATCAGAAAATGTCCATTCATCTTATTCACATGAGAGTTGCTGCCCAAGGATTTGTTGTAGGAGCTGTGACTCTAGGTAACCTGCTTAATTTCTGTCTTATGTTCAGCTGTCTTTGAGAATATTTTAATTTATTTTAGAAAATGAATGTTGGGTCAAGGTGATATAATGGAGGAAGAAGGGTAAGAAAGACAGTGAACCTCACTTGAAGTTGATTCCCTGTAAGAGGCTTTAGTCTCTTGGTATTTTAAGCACTGAAAGAAAAAAACCAGTAGACAAAAGGTATAAACTTCCAGTTATAAAACAGGTAAGTCCTGAGGAACCCAAGTGGCTCAATCTGTTGAGCATCCTGTCTCTTGATTTCGACTCAGGACATGATCTCAGGGTCATGGGATCAAGCCCCACATTGGGCTCCAGCCCCACACTGGGCTCCTCACTCAGTGGGGTGTCTGCTTGTCGCTCACCCCCTCCCTGCTCTTGCATATGCTCTCTCTCTCAAATAAATAAATAAAATCCTTTAAAAAATAAAAAATAGGGGTACCTGGTTGGTGGCTCAGTCAGTTAAATGTCTGCCTTTGGCTCAGGTCATGATCCCAGGATCCTGGGATCGAGCCCTGCATGGGACTCCCTGCTTAGCGGGAGCCTACTTCTCCCTCTCCCTTTGCTCCTTCCCCCCCCTCCCCCCCCCACTTGTTCTCCTTCTCCTTTTCTCTCAAATAAATAAAATCTTTTAAAAAAATAAGAAATAAATAAAAATAAAAAATAATGTATGTGAGGAAGTAACGTACAGCATGGTGACTATAGTTAATAATACCGTTTGGTATATCTGAAAGTTGCTAAGAGAGTAGATCTTTGAAGTTCTCATTACAAGAAAATAATTCTGTAACTATGCATGGTTACAGATGTTAACTGACTTGCTATGGTGATCACTACAGTATATGCAAATAATGAATCATTGTTGTATACCTGAAACTACTATGATGTAGGTCAATTATATCTAAAATATTTTTAAAAGGTAGAGAGCTTAATTTTAAAAAGGTAGAGAACCAGATTATGGGTCCTGGTATCTTGTATAGTGAAAGGAGCAGTGAATAGTTTATACCCTAGGTAATCCAAATAAAGCAGTGGTTCTAGACTCCAGCCTTTATCACTCACCTAAGTCATAGTTCCCAGACTACGTGAACAGCAGGTATAATTATTAATGTAGTTTAACTGGGAAGAATACATTTTTAGAGCCTACAAGCCTCAACATCTGTTCTCCTTTTATTCCCAGTCTGAGCAATAGGTAAACCTTTTTAAATTAGTCTATAAATTAAGCAATACTAAACACAGTCACATCGAAAGAACAGGTGTAAAATTATTTGGTTAATTCCAGTTATATCAATGGCTAAACCAGATAGTTCTCACAAGAAGTCCACTTTGGGACCTAAATTATCTTTCTTTTCGTGTACATTAATGAGAACAAGCCACCATATTCCTAATTCTCCTTCATGCTGTGCAGAGTAGAGTCAGCCTAAGAATGGGTCTAGGATTATGGAATGATGAGTGCGGGGCTTTGCATGTAGGGGGTTACATGGTAGTTATTTTATTACCATGAGCTGTGATATGCAGGTGTGAACAAAATACGAGAAATTTCACTACAGAATTATAGTGCTCATTTTCATCATTTAGCTATTAGCAAATAGCTACTGAGCACTTGCTATGTGCAAGGCCCTGTGCCAGTCTAGAGATACAGAAATAAGACTCAGTCCCCACTTTCAGAGTGGTCAGGCTCCTTACGGAGAACGACCAAGAACAGAAGATGGAGGTATAAAATCATAGATACCATGACAGATAGCACAGGTTGCTCTGGAAGCATAAGCACAGAGGGGGGCCTTGAACTAGTGCGGAGAGTCCCGGGGAGGCTTCTCTCAGGATGTAAACTATAGGAGCCAAGCACGCGGAGGAATTAGGTAGGCAGAGAGGAGACGAGGATTCGAGACAGAGGACAAAACAAAGGCACAGGAGCATGGCACCTTAGTGGGACTGGACGTAGCTTGGTGTGGTAAGTGAGTCAGTCAGGGTTTGATGAGAGAAGCAGAGCTACCAGTCGTAATATAGAACGAGACATTTATTATAGGCATTTGGCATTACGTGATTGTGAGGCTCTTGCATATGTATCAGCAGCTGGGGCCCAAAGTGGGCAGGGCAAGCACACAGAATGATAAAGAAGATGTAAAGTGAGAGAAGCAAAAAAATCTAGAACTTGCAAGGATGAGCTGGGAACACACAGGATGGACTATTTGGAACCCTTGTGGATTTCTCACCACCTCTAAGCCTCTAAATTCGATGACAGCAGTGACAGAGGACAAAATGATGCCCTTCATCTGGGAGCTACTAAACAGGGACCTGGCCAAGGAGTCAGAAAAGGTGAAGGAGGAAATTCAGCAAAAGCCATAGTAGCTTTACTCCCTAGTTGTTGCCCCATGTCAACAAAGGGGACCAGAAGATAAGCAAAGATATGCTGCAACAGTGCCTTCCAAGCACACAATGAATTTGGCTGCTGCTTCACTTCTGCCTTCTAAATCGTATGCAAAATGTCCCTTCTGCAATAACTCACAGAATAAAAAGAAATGAATTCTGGAAAATGTAGTTACAGTTTAGCTAAGCTGACACAATACAAATTCACCCTTGTCTACCTCTTGTCAACCTGGCATCCATATACACCTCTTTTAATACACTTAACTTTGAAATAAAGACAATGGCAAAATCAACCATTCAATGTATAACCAAAAACATGCTAATTCTCTCCCAAAAGAGGATATAAAATCCCTTTCTCCATCTTTGAGTGGTGTGTATTTGTCTTTGAGCAGAGTCCCATTTCCCTTTGATATCCTAAAGCTAAATCCTGAAATATAAGGATAATTATCATTAGCACTTCTTACATTAGATGGTAGATAAATGGAAGTGGCAAATAAAAAAATCGTTAATGTATACACAAATGTATTCAAATCAAAATAAGGAAGAAATATTCATAGCTGTCAGACTTTGTTTCTACAACTGGTTGGATGGTCATGGCTGGTGTTATAACCATGTTCTAGCCATTTTATACTCCCTTTGCCTTCAGTAAGCACCTTGGCTATTCAAGTTTATTTGACTAGTATGGTGACCCATACCTTCATTCCTAAATGAAGGCCATTAGCCATCCTGCTTATATTGGGTATTGTTTTCCATTGTCTTTAATCACAGGACATGGGAGTACTAAAAAATGCCCCAGTAGATATGCATTCCAGACACACACCTCCTTACCCTATTTGTATTCTATAGCAGTAACCTAATTTCCCCTTGATAGATCAGATCGATGTAATGGACTAGCGTGATGTCCTGTGGAATGGAGGGATGATCAAGGTCCCTGCAGACTAGATTATGGTGTAGGCTGGAGACTTCAGGGAGTCTTGAGACAGAATAGTGAAAGTATACTCTTGGCCCAACTGAGTGAACACACACTGCTTCTGATAGTTACTAAAAGGTATACAGGAAAAAAACAATCAACCAGATTACTAGCTGCAAACCAAATAGTAAATATGTTTGTACCAATACACTCTAGCAATGAAACCACACCTGAATGGCAGCTGCAGTCAGAGTAATCAAGTTTATCGAAATCCATTCTCTTTCTCCAAGATCCACCTGTCTTCTGGCAAAAGAGGCAAACTGAATGCCTGTGTGGTAGGAATCACCACCCTAGGATCTTTAAAGTCCTTGATGATGGTGCTAATCTCTATAATCCATCTGGGAATGCAGTTTTGCTTTGGTTTACTCTGTTGGTAGGTAGAGGCAAGTAGAATGGCTTACAGTTGGCTTTCCCGACCATAATAGCTTTTACACCACCGGTCAGGGAACCGATGTGAGGATTCTGACAGTTGCTGGGTTACACATTCCAGAACTGGGGAAATAATTCAGGGACCCACCAGGTCAACTGACCATCTGACCTCCAGAAACTTCTAGCTTGGCTGGTAGGGCACCCTAATTCTCAAAGCATCAGTATCAATTCAAAGCCAATACCTAATAATCTCCCACAAATGTGCTTATTTGCCCTTCCTCGTGCATAGGCACCTTGGTGAACGGTCACGGATCCCTTTAGGAAAGGCTAGATGGAGTATTTACAGTATTTATATTTTTGGCTGTATAACAGGGTCTTTTTTTTTTTTAAGATTTTTATTTATTTATTTGACAGAGATCACAAGTAGACAGAGAGGCAGGCAGAGAGAGAGAGGGAAGCAGGCTCCCTGCTGAGCAGAGAGCCCGATGCGGGACTCGATCCCAGGACCCTGAGATCATGACCTGAGCCGAAGGCAGCGGCTTAACCCACTGAGCCACCCAGGCGCCCCATAACAGGGTCTTTTCTTAAGGAGACCTGACCTCTCCTTTATTCAAGGGACTCTGGGTCCGTAAAGTGATTCAGTCTGGGAATTGGTCAGGGGGCCATGGCTGTCTACAATGATGATTTAAGTGAGACTTCTGCTCACCAAACTTGGAGATTTTCTGCGTATACACTGCCCACCACTCTTATGTCTAGGGATACCATAATCAGTTAGCCAATGCCAAAGAGCTTTGTGGCTTAGACTATGCTTATTACCATTTGGTCTTTGCTGCTCATTACAATACATCATGCTCTCCTTGTCTCTGTTGGTTAAATGATGCCACGTGACCCTGCCACTCAGGATCCCATCATCTCCACTGAATTCAGGGAGCCTAGCAATTCCCACTGTCATTTCTGGCTTACAGAAGACAGTCACCACAGAACTCTCCAAGGATGCCAGAGACTCCCTTCACAAGTGTATTTCACATAGCCTTGGTGAAGGAAATAGATATATTTAGGGGATGAGGGAGGAGGGTAAGTCCACTTTAACATTCCAATCTCCCTAAGCCTTTGGATACCTTCCTTAATGGTGGAGTTTCTTAATCTCAGCACTACTGACATTTTGACTGAATATTCTTTGTTGTGGGGGGCTGTCTTGCGCATTACAGGATGTTTAGCAGCATCCCCAGCAATTATCAGGCAAACAGCACCCACCAACCTCGAGTGTGACAACCCAAAA